TACTTTTTTCATGCAGAGAATATATTTTGAAAAGGAGAAAAACAATAAATCCCTGTATGAATGCTGTAATGTTTAAACAATATTCCATTAAAAACACGTGAAGGACATGTGACCATCAGGAAGAACGCAGCATCTCATTCCTCACAGGACGCGTTCTCTTTCCTCGCGGCTTCCTGAGTTCGTTCTTCCGAGGACTCCTGACAAGACCGCCCTCCACAAGAACGCAAGTCCGTTCTCTGCATTCTTAGAATTGCTAAACAGCCAGAAAGTTTCAGGCAGGTGTGCTGAAGGAAGCTGGAGCTGAACTATGCAGGACACCCCTGGTGAGTTTTTAGTTTGAGCACCCCAGCGCCATCTGTTGGAAACGATTCTCAACTAATTATTTCAAGAGAGAATCACAATGCATTTGAAAATCCCCAAATCAATGCAGAATCAATTCAGCATTCTCAATGCATCCCATTGCAATTGTCCAAACTTCAACAGTGCCATTTATAGTTTAGCATTTTAGACCGCGTCTGCCTGAATTGCTGTAATGATCCATAATTTGATATATTTTAATTTGATTTACTCTTTTCTTCATCTTTGACTGTTCATGCATACGTTTGTGAGTCTCCTCTTGTAATAAATCAGCTGATTGAGAGCAGTTAGTCACCTCTGACAGCGCTGAATGTGTTGAGGTGTTCAGCGGTCAGCAGCGGCGCCGGGAGCTCTCGGATGAACTTCTTCAGCAGCGCCGCAGCATCATTCGCGCTGACCTCCTCCCAGCTGAAAGATCCGCTGTAGAAGGAGTTCTCCAACTGCTGCTGCAGAACCTGCCAGAAACACAACCACTGTCAGCCTACAGAACATCATCTATTACACTAATACTACAGAGAGGCTAATAATGGAGTTTTATATTACTTTGATTCTGGACTGAGAGCCTGGAACTCGCAGAATCCCCTCAGAATCCAGACCCTTCTTTTCCAGGAATGACAGAAGCTGAAACAGAGAGAAGAAAAAAAGCATGAGTCTGGAAAAGATTACCTATATGTTAAAAGTTAAACCTCCTTCTTTTGAGGAAATTGACATTGTTTATGTTCTTTATCTGGAACATGCCTTCTGTCAATGGAAATAGATTTTTAATTACTGTGTACTGTTTATTATCTGGAATAACCTGTTGCTAGGTAAAACAATGTGCCTTTTTTTTTTTTTTTTTTTAATGAAAAGATAAATAAATAAATATAATTGTTTGTATTTTTTTGTTACATCTAAAAAAAAAAAAGATTGTTAAAACAATAAAATTAAATATTTCACACCAAATAAAAATGTAAGTAAGCAAGTGGATTAAATAGAAGCAAGATTCAGCCAGGCGGTGTGAATTACACAGAGTGTGCAACATGTCAATGCATTTACTGCAATTCAGATTAGACAACGATCTGTATTGTTAGCTGTTTATTGGATGATGAGATGTGGGTGTGGCTCTCAAAAGAGTATGCAGTTGAGCATAAGCTCACAGAGGCGGAGTTTAGGAGCACTAAACAAACACTGATGCTGGGTCATAATTCACATTCTATCTGTCCTAAATAGCATTTGAAAATAGAATTAATGTGTGCAAAATCATCGAAATGAGTATTCCAAACTCATCCGGATGGCCAAATAATTATTTCCAGTAGAATTTGTGTGTACTCTAATGGCTAATATTGCCTACCCTACAGTGCATGTGTCACAATCACCAGTGAGTCCATACAGATCGCTGGAGAACTACAAATCTGCCTGTCCACCTAAGCACAAGATCGTGGATCCCCGACTCCATTATCAGCATCCTTCCATTACAGAAGACTCTGTGTGTTTGTGTGCTGTATACTGTGTATGGTGCATGTAATCAGTCTTCGAGCAGCTCCCAGCAGTGTGTATGTCATCGAAGAACCAGAACAGGTGTGAGTGTGTGATGCATGACAGGATTTGTAGTTCCTTTGGTGGCAGATTTGTAGTTCTCCAGTGATCTGTATGGACTAGATTGTTGGTAATTGTGACAGCACGTTGGATGTGAATTCAATTAGAACTACAAACACGATTACAAAAATGTAAACAAACTACAAACATGGCAGATGCATGAGACTGACTGTTACCTGGAGAGGCTTTGATAAAGATATTCTCAATTAATATCTAACCTTTGGAATAAATTTATTTAACATGTTATACTTTCATCTGCAACAAGAATGTAAACTTTTATAAGGTGTGTTTGGCCATTAACCTCTGAATGCATAATTCTGCAAACACCTGAGGAGATTTTTCTGCATGAAATACTGGAGTATGTCAGATTAACCTGCTGCTGCTGCTGCTGCTTTAATATGGCCGGATATTAAATATTATATATATTAAGATGATTGACAGGACATATAACTGAATATCATCTATTAATGAAGTAGCAGTTTGCACCAAAGCTTGCACACTAATCTACAAACTCAAAAGTTTAAACTTTTTAATCACAAAAAGTACATATTTTAGGATATAGCATAGCAAACATCCAGTGGTGATAAGTTCGATTAAACCTTACGAAACCAAATAAATTGCTCACAATGACATGCATTTAGGAAACAGACACAGTGAATTTATAATGTAAAGCACAACAGCAGAAATGTGACAGGAAATGATGTGATGACGTACCGTTTGCAGGAAGAGCGGGATCTGAGTGTGGGGTTTGTTCTTCTGATCGCTCTCCACCAATGAGGCAAGAGGAACACCAAACAAACAGCTCTCTGAGTGGACAGAATTTTAAATTATTCGTCACACAGATCAGAAGGAATGTGGTCATGTGACAGGAAACACTCCTTATGATTGTCTTATTTCCAGACCGAAACTCTTGGTGATCTTGTTACTCAGTGAGATCAGACTGTGTAAGATTATTATGACTGTTTAAAGATTAGTAAAACTTAAAGGTAGGAGTTTACATGCAAATGTTTCTTAAATATAAAGTTAGTTTTTGTTTAAAACAAGCAAAATAATCAAACAAGGGGGTAAGCAGCCAATATTCACCCACTGGCCACTTTATTAGGTACACCTTACTAGTACCGATTTGGACCCTCTTTTAGCCTCAGTTTCCTGTTCTTAGCTGACAGGAGCGGCACCCGGTGTGCTCTTCTGCTGCTGTAGCCCATCCGCCTCAGGGTTGGACGTGTTGTGTGTTCAGAGATGCTCTTCTGCAGAGCTCGGTTGTAACGAGTGCTTATTTGAGTTACTGTTGCCTTTCTATCAGCTGGAGCCAGTCTGGCCATTCTCCTCTGGCCTCTGGCCTCATCAACAAGGCATTTGCGCCCACAGAACTGCCGCTCACTGGATATTTCCTCTTTGTCGGAGCATTCTCTGTAAAGCCTAGAGATGGTTGTGCGTGAAAATCCCAGTAAATCAGCAGTTTCTGAAATACTCAGAGCAGCCCGTCTGGCAGCAACAACCATGCCACGCTCAAAGTCTCTTAAATTCTCTTTCTTCCCCATTCTGATGCTCGTTCTGAACTGCAGCAGATCCTCTTGACCATGTCTACATGCCGAAATGCAGTGAGCTGCTGCCATGTGATTGGCTGAGTAGGCATTTGCTTTATTGAGCAGTTGGACAGGTGTACCTAATAAAGTGGCCGGTGAGTGTAGTTTTGTTATCACTTTGAAATAACATTATTTATCTTCCCCTTATTGTCAGATTATTTGGTTGTTTTAAAGAAAAATCTTTTCATTTTGACTCATTATTTTTAAAAAACAAAACAATAGCTTTTGCGTCCTGATTTAAGAACTTTCAGATATTTGGCTTAGAAACAAGACAAACACATATCTTCTTAAATCCTTCATTTAAGTCTCCTGTTTGGAGTGTTGTGTAGTGTTATGCAGACAGGATCTTACTGACCGGGGATTTTCCTCTTGCAGGTTTTGTGTCGTTTGACCTCGAGCCCCAGCAGGTCACAGAGTGCCGTCATGTCGATCAGAGCCAGCTGACGAACCTTCTTCATGTCCTGCTGAGAGAGATCCTGCACCCGCGTCACTCCCAAACGGCACTGCGGACAGATGACCCGCTGCAGACACACACACACACACACAGACAGATGGACAGACAGGAGGTGAGACGACACACTCTTTCATCTCTCTGACACTGTGATCAACAATTGCACCACACACTTTCCTCCAATCACCCTATATCTCTATAAAAACACTGTGCATTTCTGAGTGTGCCTCACACAGGTGAGTGGGCTTGACAAACCACCTGTACTATACACACTTTTTAACCGATACTTGCATTAAAATTAGATATTTGGACTAGAAACAAGACAAAACTCTTAAGAAAAGCATTTGCTGCAGTGTGATGAGTTGTGTGTGTATCTGTGTGAGTTGTGTGTTCTTGCCAGCAGTGAGTCGTCATTTCTCCTGCTGCTACTGCTGTTGTTGTTCTGTGTGTGTGTGTGTGTGTGTATACACTCCCTGACAAAAGTATTGTGGTGATCTCAGTTGTAAAAGCAGCAGATAATAACTGGACTTCTAGTTGATCATGTGTAAAGGATCATGTGTCAGAAGGTGGATTTCTCTGCTGGATCTGCTGATCTGCATCCCAATCATCACCAATACTGCAGAAGACCTACTGGAACCAGCATGGACCAAGATCCCCACAGAAATCAGTCAAGTTTGGTGAAGGAGACATCATGGTTTGGGGTCATTCAGTGTGGGGGCGTGCGAGAGATCTGCAACATTAACAGCCTGAGGAGGTATCAAGACATCTGTGCTGCCCATTACATCACAAACCACAGGAGAGGGACAATTCTCCAGCAGGATAGCGCTCCTGCTCATACTTCAGCCTCCACATCAAAGCTCCTGAAGGTCAAGCTGCTCCAGGATTGGCCAGCCCAGTCACCAGACATCAACATTATTGAGCTGATGAAGGAGGAGGTGTTGAAGATGAACACAAAGACTCTTGATGAACTCTGCTGAAGGCTTTCTTCTTCATTCCAGATGACTTTATTAATCAGTGATGTGAGTCATGTCAGAGATGTATGGATGCAGTCCTCCAAGCTCATGATGGAGTCAGACACAATATTCATTCTGTCTCCACTGCAGCAGGACTTTATATTCTATACTGGACATTATTTCTGTTCAGTGATGACACTTTAGTCTGAGCAGAGTCAGAGCGCACTGTCCTCATCAAATCAGTCAACATCAAGACATGATCAGATTTATTGAGCTCAAACCAGCAAAATCTAGAGGCCTTCAGCTTTCATAGAGACACTTCTGACACCAGATCATCAACCAGAAGAGCAGTTATTATTTGTGTTTTTTAATTATTTGGGTCCCACTTTATATTAAGTGTCCTTAACTACTATGTACTTGCATCAAAAAATAAATACAATGTACTTACCGTGTTTATAATGTATTTGAGAACACTTGTGGTGCTCTTGAGTTGGAATAGGGGTTGGGTTATGGACAGGTTTGGTGGTATGGGTAGGTTTAAGAGGGGGTAAAGTGTAAGGGATGGTCAACAGTGTATTTATAAATGTAATTACAGAAGTTAATTACAGATGTAATTACATACAGGTATTTAATCAAGCATAAGTACACAATAAATACATGTATTTACACAATAAGTACACTGTAACAAACTATTAATTCTTGTGTAAGTACATATTAGTAAAGGCCAATTAATATAAAGTGGGACCATTTTTTTGGATAGGCAACAAGACTTTAGTCAGGTAGTGTATCTGTGTGTGCGTGCAGGGGCGGACTTAACCAATAAACAAGGTAAGCAACTGCTTAGAGGAATTAGGGGCTCCAACCAATGCCAAGAAGCCTATATTAATCATAGAGCTCTTTTTTTAATTCTCTATCATGTGTTGTAAAATCTGTCTATAACTCTTAAGATTTTAATGTTATTACTTCTTTTCAAAATTGGGGGCCCCCTGAATAATGGTACGTTCCATCCGTATTGCACCTGTACTGTTCCGTTCCTAATGTTACTCTTCACAACGAGCTGCGGGTAATGCCGTTAGTCTCTCCTCCGCCTCAGAGTGCTCAAAGGCGATACAGTGCCACACAGCCGTCTCACACAGCAGCAGCATTGAGAGCAGATCATTCCTCTGCATATCAACAAATGTTTTAGCATCGCGAGCGTGAGGTGTTTCCCTGGTACAGTCAGGGATAACGATCTGCTTCTCCTTTGTTTTAAATGTAAAAGGTTTATTGTTTTCTTTCAGTTCATTATTTATTACTATTAAAATCTAATCACAAAAATGGCTAATTAACTGTACATCAGGGTGCCCAAACTCAGTCCTGGAGGGCCGATGTCCTGCAAAGTCTAGTTCCAACCTCAGTCAGACACAGCTGGGCCAGCTGATCAAGCTCTTACTAAGCTTTCTAGAAACATCTGTGCAGGTGTGTTGAGACTAGTTGGAGCTAAATTCTGCAGGACAGCGGCCCTCCAGGACTGAGTTTGGACACCCCTGGACATAGTTTGTGAACTTTTTTTTTTTTTTTTTGTGAAATTATTTCTTTTAATTTTACATTAGGAAGATAAAGGTTTCCTTAAATATTCAAATATATTAAATATACTTAATAATATATAAATAATATATATATATAACAGTTTATTTTTCAAAAATGCTAGGGCCTCAATACCTGGAATTGCTTTGGGTTCCCAAATCACTAAATCCGCCCCTGTGTGTGTGTGTGTGTGTGTGTGTGTGTGTGTGTTTGTGTGTGTGTGTGTGTGTTTTCACCGGCAGTGAGCCGTCGTCTCTCCTGCTGCTGCTGCTGTTCTTCTGTGGGAGTTTTGCTTGTTTCAGAATAATGGCCGCTTGTTCACAATACGCCACATCTGTGATGAAGATCTCCTCCATCTGCAGCCCCTGAGTGTCCTGACCACTGACAGCTGCACACACACACACACACACACAATGTTAAGAGCTGTTTCCATTGACAGCGTGAAGCGTTCGCTATCTGATCAATTTGAATATCATTTGCATATGAAAAGGCAGGAAATTGCATCTTGTGTTGAAAGGGCAGACGCTGCGTTGAAGAGCGCCGCGCGGCAGAGTACAGTTCAGCCATCATTAACATGAGTCCATCGCCAGTGCAGTCTGAAGCCTTATTAAACACACATACGCTCTGATATCTATTGCTAAACACAGCCCTGAGTACAGAGCAGGCTCGAGCCACGCTTCAGTCCCACAGCAACAACAGTTACAGTGTGTGTTACGCTTTGTCACCACTCAAACAAAAGACCTGCTGTAGAATCAAAACACTTGAAGATTGTAAGTCATGCTAATGTATGTGTGTGTGTGTGTTGATCTGCAGTTGTTCTGACTGTTGTTTGTGTGTTGCTATGCGGTTATTCTGACTGTTGTTTGTGTGTTGCTATGCGGTTGTTCTGACTGTTGTTTGTGTGTTGCTATGCGGTTGTTCTGACTGTTGTTTGTGTGTTGCTATGCGGTTATTCTGACTGTGTGTTGCTATGCAGTTGTTTTGATTGTTGTTTTTGTGTTGCTATGCGGTTGTTCTGACTGTGTTGCTATGCGGTTGTTCTGACTGTTGTTTGTGTGTTGCTATGCGGTTGTTCTGACTGTTTGTGTGTTGCTATGCGCTTGATTTGACTGTTGTTTGTGTGTTGCTATGCGCTTGTTCTGACTGTTGTTTGTGTGTTGCTATGCGCTTGTTCTGACTGTTTGTGTGTTGCTATGCGCTTGATTTGACTGTTGTTTGTGTGTTGCTATGCGGTTGATTTGACTGTTGTTTGTGTGTTGCTATGCGGTTGTTCTGACTGTTGTTTGTGTGTTGCTATGCGCTTGTTCTGACTGTTGTTTGTGTGTTGCTATGCGGTTGATTTGACTGTTGTTTGTGTGTTGCTATGCGGTTGTTCTGACTGTTGTTTGTGTGTTGCTATGCGGTTGTTCTGACTGTTGTTTGTGTGTTGCTATGCGGTTATTCTGACTGTGTGTTGCTATGCAGTTGTTTTGATTGTTGTTTTTGTGTTGCTATGCAGTTGTTCTGACTGTGTTGCTATGCGGTTGTTCTGACTGTTTGTGTGTTGCTATGTGCTTGATTTGACTGTTGTTTGTGTGTTGCTATGCGGTTGTTCTGACTGATGTTTATGTGTTTCTATGCGGTTATTCTGACTGTGTGTTGCTATGCAGTTGTTTTGATTGTTGTTTGTGTGTTGCTATGCAGTTGTTCTGACTGTGTTGCTATGCGGTTGTTCTGACTGTTGTTTGTGTGTTGCTATGCGGTTGATCTGACTGTTTGTGTGTTGCTATGCGCTTGATTTGACTGTTATTTGTGTGTTGCTATGCGGTTGTTCTGACTGTTGTTTGTGTGTTGCTATGCGGTTGTTCTGACTGTTGTTTGTGTGTTGCTATGCGGTTGTTCTGACTGTTGTTTGTGTATTGCTATGCGGTTATTCTGACTGTGTGTTGCTATGCAGTTGTTTTGATTGTTGTTTTTGTGTTGCTATGCGGTTGTTCTGACTGTGTTGCTATGCAGTTGTTCTGACTGTTGTTTGTGTGTTGCTATGCGGTTGTTCTGACTGTTGTTTGTGTGTTGCTATGCGGTTGTTCTGACTGTTTGTGTGTTGCTATGCGCTTGATTTGACTGTTGTTTGTGTGTTGCTATGTGGTTGTTCTGACTGTTGTTTGTGTGTTGCTATGCGCTTGTTCTGACTGTTGTTTGTGTGTTGCTATGCGCTTGTTCTGACTTTTGTTTGTGTGTTGCTATGCGGTTGTTCTGACTGTGTGTTGCTATGCATTTGTGTTGATTGTTGTTTTTGTGTTGCTATGCGGTTGTTTTGACTGTGTTGCTATGCGGTTGTTCTGACTGTTATTTGTGTGTTGCTATGCGGTTGATTTGACTGTTGTTTGTGTGTTGCTATGCGGTTGTTCTGACTGATGTTTGTGTGTTGCTATGCGGTTGTTCTGACTGAAGTTTGTGTGTTGCTATGCGGTTGTTCTGACTGTTTGTTTGTTGCTATGCGCTTGTTCTGACTGTTGTTTGATTGTTGCTATGCAGTTGCTATGATGGTTTGACATTGCGATGATACTAGGCTTTTCCTGCTTTATAGTTGCTATTTCCTATTATTTTAAAGCTTCTTTGCATTTCAGTAGAAAAGGAAAGTGTGTGTGTGTGTTTATGAGAGAGTGTGTGTACCTGATCGTTGTGTCTTTGTCACACTCTCCATGTTTCTGAGTGTGTCAGATTCGCTGTTGTACGTCTCAGAATCTGCTGACTGAATAGAAAACATTTATTTACACACACACACACGTAGACACACGATGCGTTATCAGTGTGTGATGAACAGAACTGAAGCCATTATTCAGATGTGGCTGATATGATCTGACATGATGTGAATGTGCATTGTCTGCTGCACACACACACACACACACACACACACACACACACACACACACACACACACACACACACACACACACACACACACACACACACACACACACACACACACAGGCCTTTACAAATGCCACGAGTGACTGTTTCTCCACATAGGCATTGTCCTGCTGCCATGATATAACAATAAACACCAGCATATCTTCACTTTAAGTTGATTTTACGCACGCAAGCAAATCTGATGCACGTCAGCAGTGCACGAGCCTTTTTAATTTTACTGTCAAAGCCAAATTCTAATTTTACTACACATTTAACCAGTCTTAGAGGTCACTGGAACAGTGGGCAGTGGAATGAAGGTAAAGAAGGCTTTGAAAAAGGTAAGTTTCACATGAGTCTGCAGAAAGCGCATGTTCACATAGCATCAGGAAAGCAGCACAATAAAATAATAAATGCAGTTTGTTTAACTGTATTTTATTGATGTGCACATGTGTGCTCATGTTAATATGACTCCAGACTTATTCAAATACAAATGCACCACATATTTCAAAGTCACAGATATTATAGTTTTAAATATAATACAAAACATTTAATTAACTTTAAATTTTCATTTATTTTAATGTCCTTTTTGCAGTGTGGTGCGCAACAGATTGCAGCACAATACCTTTTAAAGTGACATTTCACTCAGTAATGACAATTAACTCCTTATTTACTCATCCTCAAGTGAGAATAAACCTTCATGAGTTTCTTTATTCTGTAAATAACTAGTTTCTAGTCTAAATATCTGAAAATCTTAAATCAAGAATTATTTTCTAGACCAGCAAAAAATAATGTCTTGTTTTCAGAATGAAAATTAAGTGCGTTTTTCCTTAAAACAAGCTAAATAATAATAATAACAATAACAATAATAACATTAATATAATAATAATAATAATATGATGATAATAATAATAATAATAATAATAATGTAAATACAATAATAATGATGATAATAATATAATAATAATAATAATAATAAAATAATAATATAATAATATAACAATAATAATAATATAATAATATTAATAATAATAATGTAAATACAATAATAATGATTATAATAATAATAATAATGATGATAATAATAATATAATAATATAACAATAATAATAATATGATAATAATAATATAAATATAATAATATAATAATAATAAAAAACAAAAAGATAATAATAAAAATGTAATAATAATAATATAATACTGATAAAAATAATAATAATAAAAAAACATTATAATAATACATTCATGCATTTTCTTGTCGGCTTAGTCCCTTTATTAATCCGGGGTCGCCACAGTGGAATGAACTGCCAACTTATCCAGCAATTTACGCAGCGGATGCCCTTCCAGCCGCAACCCATCCCTGGGAAACATCCACACACACACATTTACACACACTCATACACTACGGACAATTAAGCCTACCCAATTCACCTGTATCACATGTGTTTGGACTGTGGGGGAAACCGGAGCACCCGGAGGAAACTCACACAAACGCAGGGAGAACATGCAAACTCCACAAAGAATCACCAACTCAGCCGAGCCTCGAACCAGCGACCCAGCGACCTTCTTGCTGTGAGGCGATAGCAGTACGCCAATGCTTCACCCTAATAATAATAATAATAATAATAATAATAATAATAATAATAATAATAATAATAATACTGATAAAATAAATATAATAATAATAATAATCATATAATTAAACAAAAATAATATAATAATATAATATAATAATATAAATAACAAGAATGATATAATAATAATAATAATAATACTGATGAAAATAATAATAACATAATAATAATAATAATAATAATAATATAATAATAGTAGTAGTATTAGTAGTAGTAATCCTATGCCAAAAGGGGAATTTTATTTTGACTCATTATTTCTGAAAACAAGACTATATTTTGTGCTTGTCTAGAAAATGCTTCTTGATTTATGAGTTTATAGATATTTAGACTACAAACGAGACAAAAACTCAGAGTGAGAAAAGCATTATTATTGTATACACCATGCTGTAAAGCGCTCATCAGATGTTAGATTATTGGGAGTGTGTGTACTCTAAAATCCACCCTATAAATCATAAGCACTTTGTAAGATCAATTTGTTCTCAGATTCTCTGTAAAGTGACGTAACTGGTGTTTCCCCATTGACGCGCCCTGATGAGCAGTTAACACTCCGCCATTGTTTCTCAATGCTGCCAAACCTCAGCGTTCAGGTGTATGACGAGATAATGAACATCGTCATTATTACACCCTTTAGATTACTCACATGTATCTGTTTATTTACTTATGGAAATGTGTGTTAATTGGGCTGCATGGTGGCTCAGTGGTTAGCACTGTCGCCTCACAGCAAGAAGATCGCCGGTTGGAGTCCGGCGGCTCAGTTGGTGTTTCCGTGTGGAGTTTGCATGTTGGCCTGGGTTTCCACCAGGTTTCCCCGACAGCTATAGGTGAATTGGCCATATTGTATAAGAGTGTGTGTAAATGTGAGTGTGTAGTTGTTTCCCTGTATTGGGTT